TCGCCGCCGCAGCGGCAGCCTTGGCCTTGTCCGGGGATCGATGATGAGTCAGCTGGCGGGTCTGCGCAGGCTGGCCGTGTCACAGGTGGCGGTGTGTGTCGGTCGGGCACTGGCGCTCCCAGGCGGGCGCGGCTCGCTCTGGTGCTCCCAGGCAGGTGCTGTTCGCCATGGTGCTCCCAGACGAACGCGGATCGCTGTGGTGCTCCCAGGCGGGTACGGCTCTCTCTGGTGCTCCCGGGCGGTCACGGCTCGCTATGGTGCTCCCAGGCGGGCACGGCTCTCTCACTGGTGCTCCCAGGCGGGCACGGCTCTCTCTGGTGCTCCCAGGCGGTCACGGCTCGCCATGGTGTTCCCAGGCGGGCGCGGCTCGTCCTGGTGCTCGCAGGCTGTGCCGCCGCGCTGCTGCAGCACACAGTCTCTGACGCTATCAAAAGCGGCCCCCACACTGCCGAGCAGTCCACTTTTAGCACTCTGACTCAGCACAATACTGACAGGGTATTGTGCCGAGTCAGATGATACTAGCATGGCCTCACAGGGCTCAGTATCGGCGATCGGAGTTAGTTCCGCGGCTACTCACTCGCTCATGGCTCTAAACTCGCAGCGCGAGTAGCAACCAGCATCATCTCCGGTAATTTTTTTGAATCGGCTTTCGTGTCCCAGCAAGCAGCACCAAAGCATTCGGCATCGATTGTCAGAACATTTTGATTCAATAGCGTTAGAGACCACCCAAAAATACACATATTCAGACCTCAGACCATTTGCAGGGCATGTGATGTGATGTTCATATGTGAGTCAGCCATGACAGTGGCAGCCTCGGGAGTACGTGACACATACGACCACCCTCGAATGTGACAGTCGTATGTGACCATCCGGCATGATAGGCGTGTGTGACGATCGGTACCACTGGCACTTATGTCAGGCGTAACAGCTGAGGAGAACAGAACAGTTAGAACGTAACAGTCGGTCGTGACATACGATGTGATTACTGGCTGAACAGTCGGATGTGACAGGCTTATGTGTCGCTCGCGGGTGATAGTCTGATGTGACAGTCATGTGTGACAGTCTTACAGTTCGGTGTGATAGTTTAGCGTGATAGATAGAGAGGTCTTATAGTTTGATGTGATAGTTTAGTGTGATAGATGGAAATAGAGTTGTGTGTGATGGTCTTATAGTGTGATAGATGGAAATAGAGTTGTGTGTGATGGTCTTACAGTTTCGCGTGATAGCATGATGTGAAAGTCGGGGTGGCAGTCTGACGTGATAGTTGGCTGTGATGGTGGTATAACAGCGGGGAAGGACAGGGTGAAGTGATTGCGGGCAACGTCCTCAGATGATCGCATCCTTAACAAAAAAAATCAGTGCGATGTAGCAATCGGCCATAGCATGCGCGGGCACAAGCCTCATCTAGATTTTGAAATGATCTTGTGAATGAGGGTATCAGTAGCATGGCATCAGCTCAATATTCCCACGCAATTAAGAATGGTTTTCTGTGTTTGTGTTCTGGATGGTGTTTAGCGTAATGCAAACATGCCAGACAATCCAATCGACGGTCATATTCCGCTGGTAAATGTTGACATCGCGATGAAGAGTGAGTTGGCTGCAGGCGAATCAATGAAAACGGTTGTGCAATAGTGGAAGCGCCGGTGCCAAGGTAAACCCTGAGCCGCTGACTGGTACATCTGCAGCGAACGGTGCTGTTGTACAAGTGCCAGGGCCAGACGCACTGGCCGTGAGCGATCGATCTGTACCGCCCAACCCGGACCATTAGTGAGCCCGGTCTGGAGGCGGCCAGCGCCGGCGGCGGCCGCAGGGACAGCCCGCGGCAGCATGGGAGGGGCTGCGGCTGGTGAGCGGCGGCGGCACGCCGAGTATGTCTGAGCCGCGTCCGGACAGGGCTGTCTGGGGCGTGTCCAGACAGGGCTGTTTGAGCCGCGTGCGGACAGGGCTGTTTGGGGAGCGTCCAGACAGGACTGTCTGAGGCGTGTCCAGACAGTGCTGTCTAAGCCGCGCCCGGACAGGGCTGTCTGAGCCACATCCGGACAGGGCTGTCTGGGGCGTGTCCAGACAGGGCTGTCTGAGGCGTGTCCAGACAGGGCTGTCTGGGGCGTGTCCAGAAAGGGCTGTCTGAGCCGCGCCCGGACAGGGCTGTCTGGGGAGTGTCCAGACAGGGCTGTCCGAGGCGTGTCCAGACAGGGCTGGCTGGCAGGGAGCCGATGGCTGCGACTGTCCGCACGAGCTCGGAGTTCAGGCGCGCTCGGAGATAATGGTCGGAGATCGCTCGGAGACGCTCGGGGCTCATGCAGCATTGCTGTACAGCATGTACTACTCGAAGTCCCACCAAACACGTTGTTTTAAGGATTTACTCGTTGATGCCACGCCGCCCCTGCGGCACTGAAACAACAGCTGGTGGCCGCAGGCCGCGTACTTCATCGCTGTGGATATGCGAGCAGGCTCATACACGTTCAGGGTTATAGAGATGCAAATGCTCGTGAGTCGGATTGCTTATTGTAAGCTGACATGCGATTGGTGTCCGAATCTCAAGCTGCGAGGATGCGTGGGTCTCGTACTGCACAGCATGCCCGCATCCCTTGGTAATTTGGCAACTCCACAATACTGGCGTGATGACTGGCGCAATATCTGACCCACGCGCAAATCGATCCTTCCAGCCATGTTGTCCTAAGCAATGTTCTGTTAGTTTATATCTATCCTTGAGCCTAATGTTTCAAGTATTTTTTTCGAGTTACAGAACGTATCCATGGCAGAAATTATTCGCGGTTAACTGTTTGAAGGATGTGATTAAACGCTGCTGCAAGAGTTTACCAAACAGATCAGGACTTGCTTGACATGCTAACATGTTGTGGCATGTTATAACATCCATAGCAAATACATGGGGCAAATTGACAGCAGATCCTATTCAAATTGGATCCGGAGATTACACCTCGTCCGTGAGATTTTCACAAGACCCACGTGCTATACCAGTACATGGACCGTCGGTAAATATTTACTGTCACTCTGGCCCCGCCGGGACAAGTAAACTCCCCTCCGAGTTTGCACTGCCACCGTTGGCAAACCTCCAAAGGGCACCAGGACCGTAGTACCGCCGCGGGGGCAGCTTAGCGAAAGACGAGAATACCGGACCACAGACAACACACGCCCAACATTCCGTTTGCTGTCAGACCAAGGCGCTGCATCGCCTTGCGTGCACTCCACAAACGGGAGGCGTTCTGTTAGGACGCCGGACGGGAAGCGTTCTGTCAGGGCGCCACGCGCGGCTGAAGCGCCGCGCTGCGCCTGTGCGTCGACGGCCAACACGGAACTTTGGAATGAAGCCAATTCCGGCTGGCATCGAATCGGGAAGTGCCCTCTCACGGCGTTCCTCACCAGTTTGGGCCCGGGACTGCCCTCTCTCACTATGTCCTTCACCAGTCTTGGTCGGGGCCTGCCCTCTCTGACTACGTAACTCACCAGTCTGGGCCGGGGCCTACCCTCTCTGACTACGTAACTCACCAGTCTGGGCCGGGGCCTACCCTTTCTGACTGCGACGCTCACCAGTCTGGGCCGGGGCCTACCCTTTCTGACTGCGACGCCCACCAGTCTGGGCCGGGGCCTACCCTTCCTGACTGCGACGCCCACCAGTCTGGGCCGGAGGTTGCGCTCTCCGGCTGCGGCCTCCTGTTCAACAGCCTTGGGCCCGGTCCTACCGTCGACTGCACCCCTCATCGGCCCGAGATCGAGCGGAACCCACCCTGGACGGCTGCGTCCCCCATCAGCCTGAGACCTGCTCGCCATCACTCGTTTCGTGCCTCACAATAGCAAGATATGGCCCCATCAGATTCCCGGCTACATCCCTCACCAGTCTGGACCTGGTCTAGAACTCCTGCCTGCGGCCTTCACTAGATCAGGACCTGGCTTCACCATGTTTGACGAAGCTTCTCACCAAGGCGTTAAGGTGACGTGCTATCCCTCGATGCCTTCCCCAGCGCAGCAGTCTGGGGCTCAGCCCCACTCTTCGTCGCCGTTTGCCCCAACAGCCAGGGGTCTGGCTGCGAGCCACCGGGTCGGCGCCATCTGTGCACGACTAATGACGGTCGAGAATGGCGGCCACACCGGCGGCAGGGGCGCACCCAGTCGGCGGATCGCGGGGGTCGGAGGTCCCGCCACCAGCGGCAGGGGCGCGCCCTGTCGGCGGACCGCGGGGGTCGGAGGGTCCCGCCACCAGTGGCAGGGGCGCGCCCTGTCGGCGGACCGCGGGGGGTCGGAGGTCCCGCCACCAGCGGCAGGGGCGCGCCCTGTCGGCGGACCGCGGGGGTCGGAGGTTCCGCCACCAGCGGCAGGGACGCGCCCTGTCGGCGGACCGCGGGGGTCGGAGGTCTCACCACCAGCCTGCCGGACGGCCGAAGACTACGAGCAAGGCGGCAAACGATTCTGTTGTCAATATTCTGCTGTTGATATGTAATAATGCTTATGTGCAGGTTGATATCATTGTTGAGATGAGAAAGCAACTTGTAGATTAACTTGACTTGTATTATGTTGTCGCTTCAAATACGCCATGAATTAAAAGTTAAATTAAACGTCGCGGCACAACTTTATAGCACGAGGTATTTGGAGGACGTGCACACCGGATCCAAAATGAAACAGTATACAGATCGGTATGCTCACTCTAAACCGTTCCTCTTCTGGTCGACACAGCTTGTTGGACCTTATTTTGACATGAAACGTGGGAGGACACGACGACTGCTTCTGCTGCCGGCTGAGAACGGCAGCATTAACAAGGAGTTTGTGCGATATAACCTGGTTCAAAGTCATGGTCAAATGTTTTAAGTTCTTACCGTAACGATGCGTCGATGATGCTCATGTCACCTGTCTCTGCATGTGGTCATGTGATGGAAAAAACGGAGGGTGGTGAGCCTGACCTCACCCGTGCCTCCCTCGGATGTTTGTGGGCCGGGAGAGAAAATAGGATGGTAGCCCTGACCCGGCCCGACACCCGCCTCCCGCAGGTGTTCATGAGATGGACGAGAGCAGGTGTTGGTAGTCCTAAACCCACATGGCGTTTGCCTCCCTCAGGTGTCCGTGGAACTGAGAACGACGGGGGTTGGTGCACCTGACCTGGCGCTGCCTCCCTCAGGTGTTGACAGCCCGGAGGAGGGTGGCGAGCCTGACCCGACATTGGTCTCCCTCAGGTGCTCATGGGCCGGAGGAAGACAGACGGCGGCGGACCTGGCCCGCTGCCGGCCATGGTGCGCAGGAAGAACGCCGTGAACGAGGAGCTGACGCTGGCGGCCATGACGGAGGATGTGTGGGCCGCTGTTGAGTCGGGACGAGAGCGCCGCCGACGGCTCGCGTGCGAGCGCTCGTACGGCCTGGGCGGGCCGGGCGCCGGAGCCGCCCCAGCTGCCGGAAAGGCCGAGCTGGGAGGCACCCAGCCGGCAGTGACCGGAGCTGGAGCTCTGGCGGCATCCCGCCCGCCGGCAGCGGCGGCAGCGCCGCCTGCGCCCGCCAGATCGGCTGCAGCTCCATCGGCCGGACATGTCCCGGTGCCGGCGTCGTGCCTACCGGGCCAGGGAAACGTCGGTCCAGTTTCGGCAAAAGCCGCCAGTCCCCAGGAGGCTAAGAAGTTGACAGGGATGCAGTCGTCGGGGCAAAGCCAGGGACATTCGAAGAAGACAGCACCAGACAAGGCAGACGGAAACGCTGTAAGTGCCCCGACAGTCAAGGGCGCTTCAAAACAAGATTGCGATGTCACCAAGACAAAGACAACAGATGAGAAGCGGACGACTCAGAACGACGTTTACAAGGCACAAGATTCTGAAAAGCCCACGGTAGTGGTTGCGACTGAGCAGAAGAAAGATGCTAGAGAAACGCCAGCGGATAACAAGAAGTCCAAGCGAAACAAGCGTAAAGGTGGACGCCTGAGCGAAGGAGAAGATCAAGCAGTCCCCGGGCCGGTCCAACATCCGCCCATCGTCGGCGCCCCAGCTTCTAACGCGGGAAATTCAGCTGAGCCCCAACAGAAGCGGAACGTAGCTGCGGCGGATGTCGTGCCCAGTGCGGCGCCTGCCCAGACGGCCACAGCTCCCAGTGTCGCCCGGCAGGAGGGCGGCGTCGTCCAGCAGCCCGCACCGGCGGCACCTCTCGCCATCAATCTGACCCAGATGGTGTCCGACGAGCGTCCGCTCGCCAGCGGCGCGACCGCTCCAGCCGCCGGCGCAGGCGCCAGAAGCGCCTCCTACGCCGAGAAGGCTCGGCACCCGCCCGCCAGCCCGCCGCTGGTGGAGCAGCCGCCGCCGCCGCCGCGCGAGGAGAGCCCCGAGCCGACGTACGACCCGCGGCCCGCGCGCGCTCTCTCCACCGCATGCGGCGCCGCTCTCGCCCAGTTCGCCCACCTCCGAGGAGTGGGTGCCGGTTGAGACGCGCCGCGAGAAGCGCAAGCGGCGCCGCAGCGAGCGACTCAGCGAGTCAGAGCGCAAGAGCGAGTCCGAGCGCAAGAATGAGTCGGCGGACGCGTTTGACCTGCTGCTGTCAGGCGGGGAGGGCTTGCACGATGGTCTACAGGAGGCACTGGAGGAGGAGGGGGTCGCCGACCAGCCGCCACAGCCGGCGGCCGCAGAGAGCAAGCAAGACGCCTTCGACCTGCTCATGTCCTCTTCCATGGACCTCACCGAAGGGTTCCAGGAAGCGTTCGGTGAGGAGTCACAGGTTGAGATGGAAGGGCTAAAACAGGGTCCCATGTCCAGCGCTCCGACCATGGACGCGTTCGACCTACTCCTGGGTGGGGATGACGACCTCAAGAATGGTTTTGAGGAATCATTTGCGGACGATACTGCAGAAAAAATTGCCTTAGAGCGATCGGTGATTGACAAACAGAAAGATGAAGTCAAGGAGAGCAAGGATAAGTGTGAAAAAGCAAAGAAAGAGCGTAAAACGTCTCAGTCAGACAAGAAATCCTCACAGAACGCGGATTCGAAACGCCAAAAGAACGGCGGGGAGCAGCAGATTCCCCCCACCACGGTTTCTCAGAAGGTGCCCGAAAAGCAGCAGCCTATCGTATCACCAGCCACTGCCGCACAGGAACCAAACGACAAGCCGCAGGACAAGCCAAAAAAGCCTCGGAGCAGGAAGAACAGCGAGAAGACGAAGAACCGTACGCCGCGTGCAAGCACGTCTAGTGAAAGCGAACCGCCGGGCGCTTTGACGGAGGTGGCGGCCGCGGCTTGGTTCGACAAGGCTTTGCACGATGCTGCCGAGACTAACTTCTACCAGGGCCTGCATGGTGGCGGGGCGGGATTGCCCCGCGCATGGGCCCGACAACCAGCAGGGGCCATTAAAAAAAACTCCGCCGAAGCCAGCTTCTTCACCCCTTAGTTCGGCCAGCCATGAGCGCACCGTAGAAGCCAGTCCGTGTCCGCAGTCGCTAGGCAAAGTAGACGCAGACGCGCAGCGCGACGCCCCGCCCAGCGCCGCTCGCCAGCCTGTCGCGCCGCCATCGAGGACAGGCCCGTCGAGCCTGGCCTCGCCGCCGCTCTCCCTCGGCTCGGAGGTGGGAGACCTGTACTTCGAGGACGTGGTGCTGGCTGGCCGGCAGAGCGCGGCCACCATGGCGGCGCTGCCCGGGTTCACGGCGGCGCCGCGCAGCGAGCAGCCGGCGCCCGGCGAGCAGCTCGACAGCCTGCGCACCGAGCCGGAGCTGGAGCTGGACGAGCTGGGCGACGACGAGCAGGCGGCGCCGGGCGAGCATCGGCCGCCGGCCAAGACGAAGCGGCCCCGCCGGCGCCGGCGCAGGAGCGAGCGGAAGAGCGAGACGGAGCCGGTCCCTGCGGCCGCGGAGCAGCCCGTCGCGCGGGAGGGCGGGGGCACCGGGCACTCGGTCGGCGGCGAACTGGCGCGGCCGGAGGCTGCAAAGCAGCCGGGTTCCGGCACCGCAGCGTCCGGAGACGCGGCCGAGAGCGGCCCGCAGCGGCAGAGCCTCCCGTCGCCGCCGGTGACGCAAGACAAGGCGCGGCACCAGAGGCGCAAGAAGACAAAGTCGACCAGCGGCGGCGGGGAGGCCGCGGAGAACGGCGCCATGCCGATCGAGACCCGAGCGGCGAAGTGTGACGAGACCGGAGAGCTCATCCCCGGGTCGGTGGCGACTGCGACGTCCGGACGGAGCGCGGCCGAGCCGCCGGCGTCAGAGGTCCCGCTGGCCGCTGGCCGGCAGGCCGACTCTCCAGCCGGGCAGAGCGAGCCGGACAGCATGCCCAGCACGCCGGAGCACACCGGCTCGGCGGACGGCGCGCCGTTCCGTCCCGACGACGAGGGCAAGCGGTACGCCTCGCTGCTGCAGCAGGGCTACGACATGTTGCCGGCGCGGCCCGTCTTCTTAGCGCACGCGTGCTTCGTCTGCAAGCGGCTGCACAGTAAGCAGTGTCGACTGAAGTCGTGCGGCAGCTGCCGGCTGGTGGCTTACTGCTCAGCTGAACACCAGCGCGCCCACTGGCCACTGCACCGCGCCCTTTGCAAGGTCGTCACCAAGCGCATGCGCAAACTGGGCACCGACCATCTGTACCGGGAGGCGTATAACGTCACCAGCCACGAGGAGTGGAAGAAGGTCCGCTTCAAGCACATGACCGTCTGCGAGGAGATGCTGGGACGCCCGATGGAGGCGTGTGAGAAGGAGATGTTCCTGTACCCACGCGTCTGCGACACCTGCCGCGAGACGACCCCCGAGAAGCTGCACACCTGCCACCAGTGCCACTCGGTCAGCTACTGCTGCGAGGAACACCTGCGCAAGAACCACGCCAAGTTCTGTAAGGACTTGCGTCTGCTCGTCGACATCCACTGCTACCAGAACGAGAACGGCGTGTGTGATCCGCCGCTGCCGGACACCATGCTGACCACCTACGAACCGCTGCCACCCAACATCCGCGAGTTCCTCGTAGTTAGCATGCTCGGCCCCGTCAAGGCGTACGGCATGGGCGGCATCGAGCTGGCCACGCTCTCCGAGAACGCCTCCTACCCGCTGACGCTACTGTACGCGCTGCAGAACATCCCAGTGGCAGAGGAAGCCCACATCAGCCAGCGCACCGAGCTCACCGTGCATGTGGTGGGCGCTGAGTTCGCCGCCGAGTGCGACAGCATCACCAAGTGGGACGTGTTCCTGCTGAACGTGCTGCCGCGTCTGCGGCGGCTGCACGTGGTGTTCGTGGGGCCCGAGCTGGAGGTGCCGGGCAGTCGGCCGGGTGTCACCGAAGAGGACTTCACCTGCCTGCCGTGCCGCGCCGCCGGCAAGAGCTTCACGTGCGAGTTCCAGCCGAGCACGTACTACCACACGTACTGCCGCAGCCCGCAGTTCCGACCGCCGCACGCCATCTGCGCCTTCAACGCCGGCCTGTACCGCACGACGGGCCACGAGCGGCGCGACTCGTGGCGCGAGACGCTGCCGCACCTGGTGCCGGACGGCGTGCCGCTCGTGCTGACCGCCTACACCATGCTCGAGTGCCCGCAGGACGTGGCGCGTATCCAGCAGGAGCAGAAGGTGGACGTGCTGCTGCCGCCGATGAAGAACCCCTACCGCAGCACGCGGCCCGCCCAGAACTTCCTCAACGAGCACGAGAGCCCGCTCATCTACAAGAACCAGTACGTGGCCTGCCTGACGGCCGCCCGACCGAGGAAGTAGCGGCGCGGTCGGGCCGCGCGCCGCGGGACCGCCGGCGAGGGCCGCCGCGCCCTCCCCCGCCCCCCTCCGTGTGGGGCCCACCTCCGCTCTTTGGCGTGGAATCCAATGTAAGCTGTGAAACCGTGTTAGGGCGTGTGCTTAGTCAATAAACGGCTGGTGAAACAAGGCGGGCGTTTGGATGGTGAGTGAGCGGCACAGTTAAGCAGTTTTTGGAAGGTAAGGCACGCTGAAAAAATAAATGCCATCGAAGACAAGGCGGCTTAATTTTTAGCGCTTAGATGTTCTTATACAGGCAGTTAGTACTGCACATAAAATTTATCTGACCGTGGGAAATCAATTTCCAAGAGTTCCAAACAGCGTCAGATTTCATAGCTCATGTTGAAAGTGGTTGTAACTCCCCCCCCCCCCCCCCCCCAGACGTCCACAACCATAGAGCTGTAGTTCTGGGTGGAACGGCCTCAGACATCCAGGTCATCTGGCTTTGGGGACATGACTAATCCGCCAAGCGGCGACTCCGAGACCCCTCGGTCCTGCGGAGCGGCTTGCGGAGCAAGTTTTAGCTGTTTCTCGCTTATCGATGATGGAATTTGCTACAAGATGCTAACTCAGTTCTCGGTCCGAACCACAGAACCCTCGAACCTCACGCCAGCGTCTCACCAGTTCCCTACAACGCTGCGGTGATATGCGTCACTGACCATCTTGATGGCGGGCATGCCCGTGCGGCGGCCCTGGTCGAGCTGCTACGCCCAGGCAAGCCTGCCATTCGGCCCCAGACCGTCGATTCACTTAAGCGGTTTAGTGCCCGATTAGTTGCACCAAGCGCTGATGAACATACAAATGTCGTATTGCCGACCACATGCAGTCAGACTCCAACTTCTTGATCTGTCTTCCGTGAGCGACGTTCGCGACAATCGCATGCTACGTGAGAGCTGCACGTCTGTAAGAATTTCTTTCCGAAGCGTTCCGAGCATTCTGCGCTAGATCACAAACGATGTTGCCGAATTATGAGGCACGGCATAATTCGGCGCCAAAGCTATAAACACCGTTACCACAAACGGTTAGCGACAATGCATTCGACGTCTCACACGCGATACATTTGAACTGCTCAGGTTGGTGCCTGCCGCCACATAGGATTACACAAGTCATGGTAAAATACTCGGCCTGCCAAATAAACGACGAGTTGGAATGCAATGAATCACCGCTAACGAAACCTAGTGGATTCTTGGATGAACTACATGGTGTTTCGAAGGGAACAAAAGTTCTCAAAGCAGTTTAATGGTTCCCCCACAGTTCTTCCTGACAGCAATGTGGAGAAACCATGCGTTGCACGCACCCGCACGTTTGGAACCGCCCATCTTTAACATTACCGGCCGGCTCAACTCCGGAAGCTAAGTTCATGAGGCCGGCAAGCATTATGTTCAGGCACACAACACACGGGTACTACTGCCGGAGACAGATCAATACAAGCGGAGGCGCGCCTCCACCGCCCCACACGCGACGTGCAGCGCCAGGCACGTCCGTCCACAGAGCAACAATTGCGGCGCCCTTGCGCGAGACACACGTTCAGCCATTAGAGGTGACCACCGCCACCAGTTCTCGCACAAGGGCCTTCACTGCCAGGTCAACATGACACTACTCCCCCAGTTCGCCCGCCACGGTCCAAACATCGACCGAGCGCATCTGGGGACCGGACCCGCCGGCCGCCCCGGACTGTGCGCCCAGAGGCGGCGCGGTCCCGCGCCAAAAACTGCCCACGTCACGCGCCGACGGGCCTCTGCACAGCCTTGCGCCGACAGGTGGCAGCACAGTCCGGCGGCCTGAGCAGCGCACCGTCCCGGGCTCGGCGCCAACAGGTGGCAGCACAGTCCGGCGGCCTGAGCCGCGCACCGTCCCGGGCTCGGCGCCGATAGGTGGCAGCACAGTCCGGCGGCCTGAGCCGCGCACCGTCCCGGGCTCGGCGCCGATAGGTGGCAGCACAGTCCGGCGGCCTGAGCCGCGCACCGTCCCGGGCTCGGCGCCAACAGGTGGCAGCACAGTCCGGCGGCCTGAGCAGCGCACCGTCCCGGGCTCGGCGCCGATAGGTGGCAGCACAGTCCGGCGGCCTGAGCCGCGCGCCGTCCCGGGCTCGGCGCCGATAGGTGGCAGCACAGTCCGGCGGCCTGAGCAGCGCACCGTCCCGGGCTCGGCGCCAACAGGTGGTGGCCCAATCAGGTCGCGGGTTGGCACCCGCGGCCCGTATCACAGTCAGCCGCCAGCGGCCCGGCGACACGCGGCCGACGCGTCACGAGGCCACGTGCAGCTTGCTGAAATCCTCGTACGCCACCTGGCTGAGCCGACGGCCCTTGAGCGGCCCCTGGAGCGGGAGTCGAGAGTCAGAGGACAGGCCGAGGGGGGGGGGGGGGGCTCCGACTGGGGCGAGAGCACGCACTCCACACGGACGCCACGACAGGAACGCCCTAGTATTGGTGCGGGGGACCAACACTGATTAGGACGCTCCGAGAACGTAACGCGTCATTTGCTCTGTCAATGGAGTGGCACACGAGGGAGAAGAAACCTTACTGCGCCCATTTACAGAAGCGAACAACGCTAGCAGAAAAGGTCCACCGTAACATGTTTTCTTCACAAACCCATCGAAACAGCACAATGTGTCTCTGATGTCACCGTCTCGCCACAAGTCTGCGAGGACGCCTGTGAGCCAGCGAGCACTACGTGCAGCGGCGCTGGCACCGGACCGTTCCGCACCCTCACCTCGGCTATCGTCAGCGACGCGCAGAACTTCTTCTCCTGTATAGCGTCCAGCGTGGCCGTGGCGCCCCGGTACGCGCCGTTCACGATCTTCACCTTCCGTCCTGCCAGCACGGTATGACGTCACGCGCGGGCCAGGATATCCCGGCCGCCGGCTGACGGGCGCCGCCCCGCTGGCGACGTCGTCAGAACACGTACACTTCTGACAGGGCACAGCGCGCAGGGAGATGAGCGCGGCGAATCTAGCAAAGCGAGGGTTTCTCAGGACGCCGGCCGTGCAGAACGGTGCACGCCACGTCCGTGGCCTGACCGAAGCAGATGCCGAACCGTAACATTCTCCAAGCACATCGTACTCCTGTATGTGGCATTGGGACCAAGGGCTAATTGGCATCGGCAGATAAGGCGTCGCTTACAGACGCCAACGCGTGAAACACCATACTGCTGGCCTAAATGCATGCACGCACGTCATATGCGGACAGATAACTGACACTGAATACATCAATGAGGGGAAAACAATACAGATGCTATCTGCGTCACAGCACGGAGCCTGTGGCAATCGGTATGGGTCACGTGGACATAACTTTCTTCCCCAACATGTCAGATTATTCCACACGGGACCCAAGCGTGTCGTCCACGCAAACCGGGCTGAATGACCACAACCTGAGTATCCTATAGTATTTGATTCTGTTTAATGTCGCACCAATGCGTTTCTCTGTTTTTCGCCTAGTGTGTTCACCAACCAAGCCCCTTCAGGCTGGTTCCTCGCCCTCGGTGTTCCGCTCCCACACAACTCTGGTGTTTCATCCAGTCCCGTGTCCAGCTCGATCTTGTCTCGCGTCATCTTCCCGTCCTGGCCCACTCTGAACCCGTCTCCGGCTCCCATTCATGTTTTCAACTACTGTTTTCCGCTCCTGTTCGCATTCGGCTCCCGCCTCCGCTCCACTGCAACTGACCCGGTGTTCAGCACTTGACCCGAGTCCCAGTCCCAGTCCTAGTCCCCGTCCCACTCCCGCCCCCGTTCCCACTCTCAGTCCCGCTCCCGCGCCCCCAGCCGTGCGCCCCGGGCCTCACCCACGGCCGGCACGACTGTCTCCAGGTGCGCCTGGTCCAGCTTCAGCTTGTGGCCGCCGTCCAGCAGGCGCAGCACGGCCCGGTAGCGGTCCTGCACCTCGGTGATGTGGCCCTTCTGCTTGTAGAACTTGTCGCCCAGGTCCTTGGTCACCACCTTCACCACGACGCCCTGCGGCAGCGCGGACACCGCCTGGTGACGTGGTGGCTCCGACAGCCGGTGGAAACCAGGAGCAGTAGCTGGTGACCTGGTGTGACCCCGGTACGGCGACACAAGAGGCCCCGAGGCACTGCTTGGTGACATGATGAGTATGGATGACACACGGAGGTCGGAATCACACGAACGCCGCCAGAGTACGCGAACGGGGTAGACAGCACCATATCCGAACACCAGTCATTGAACACGGCATGTCCAGACCATCCACAAACAAGTAACGTCCAGTACACCCACTTCTGTCAGCCAGTAGTCCTTCCTGTTCATCTTCTCCTTCTTCTGCTCCTCGAACGCCTTGATCTCGTCGAGCGCGCTCATCTTCCTCTTGCCGGAGGCGGAGGCGGCGGCGGAGGCGCTCGGCCGCGTCGGCCCCTCGCGCGCCAGTAGGTTGGCGCCGGGCCGCGGCGGCCGCAGCTCAGCCTTGCGCGCCGCCGGCAGCGCCAGGCCCAGCCGTATGGGCCGCTCGTCGTCGGGCCGCTGCAGCTCGGTGTACTCGGCGGTGGCCGCCTCGCCACCCTGCTCGCGGGCTTTCTCCACCTGCCGACGGACACGTGACGTGACACCCGGCGTCGCCCAGCAGCCAGCCTTCACCACTCCGGCTGATGCTGCGGCGAGCGTGAGGCGCGCCAAGGCGATAGACGAGCCGTGACAGGAACAGTACCTTCGAACGCGTCGAACATGGGATAATGCCGATGCTTCTCTGCGGCTGATTGTCCATGGTATTCAATCATTGCCTGAGGGTCGTTTAACCCGGCACTGACTGGGAGTGGGCGGGGGCGGGGATTAAATCCGCCCCTGTCCAATACTCACTATAATTCAACAGCGCCTTCAGATATCGCTGCTCAATTGTATTAGCTGTCAAATGATGAGTTATACGCTTTGCGCCAAAGTGAGTTATACGCCTAGTGTCATAGTAACAACTATGAAATCATAATAGATCAAGCGTGAGTGATGTCAGAGGACGTCACGCTTGCCGATTTTTGACCAAAAAGGCATGGCCGTAGACAAATGGACGTAGAAGCCGGCAAAAAGAACATATTTTATATCTGTACACTGCAAATGTGCCACAATCATTTTACCAATCATATTTACAATTGTTGCGCTGTTTCACTCTTGCACATTTAAATGTTGGTATATTAAATGCTAAAAACATTGATAAAAAGTTCAATCGACATTTGTGGACCAACGACTCAAAATTTTGGAAACATGAAAGAACAGGCCCTAGACAAGACTATAAAGGATGCTTTCACCAAATTGCAAGCAATTATCTGTAACAATGAGCGAGCTATGGCTTGAAATACATCGCGGCCCACGTTTGCCGTGTCCATGTGGGCCCGGGCCGGCGGTCGACAGTCGGCGGGCGGCGGGGCTCAGGTCCGCCGCTGTGGCGCGGTGACGGGACGGCGGAAACCGTTTATCAGTTTCGCGCGCAAACCAACGCCCACGTGACGGGCGGCGGGGCGCAGGTCCGCCGCTGTGGCGCGGTGACGGGACGGCGGAAACCGTTTATCAGTTTCGCGCGCAAACCAACGCCCACGTGACGGGCGGCGGGGCGCAGGTCTGCCGCTGTGGCGCGGTGACGGGACGGCGGAAACCGTTTATCAGTTTCACACGCAAACCAACGCCCACGTGACGGGCGGCGGGGCGCACGTCTGCCGCTGTGGCGCGGTGACGGGACGGCGGAAACCGTTTATCAGCTTCACGCGCAAACCAACGCCCACGTGACTGCCGGCGGGGTTCAGTGGCATCAAGCTGCGCCGTCGGCAGGACTGAACCGTCGAAAATAACGCGAAAATCGATCCAGCCGCTCATCCACCACCGAGGACATCGATTTGACCTTGACCTTTGACGGTTTATGAACAAGCGATATCTCTTGCTCACGTGACTGATACCCCTATTTGTGGAAAGCTCTCCCAATTTGTGTTTAGATGGTTCAAATATGACGGAAATAAATAGATCAAAATAGACAATTAGACCAAGGTTTCAGCTCTCATTTGCACGGCACGCGACCTTCGCTCTAGGCCTGGTACGGCGCGCGTAACACTGGATACCTGCCTACGTAGTATGTTTGACCAGGGCGCAATAATTTCGCACCATAAAACACGCTTCTTAATGGAATACGCTATGGGGGCTGTCAGACATCCCATGGGAAAGCATTTTAAGAATTTGGTCTTGACCTGTGACCTTAGTACATACTGCAACTTAAGTTTGTTGTGTGGTCTGTGACCGCACGCCACGGTGCCATCCATTGCGATTCGAATTTTTGAATTAATCCCGGCCGTTCTCGGCCTGAGCAGGGACAGATCATGAAATGATGTAGCTGCCCAGCAGGCCCAGTAATGCACCATTTCATTATGCCATTTAAAGCACAGTGAAGCTGCCAATTCCTTAGTCCTTTACTTTCATGGCGAAGGCGCGAACACCGTTTCATTTCGCGTGTGACAGTTGGCACACTACGGGAACTCCCAACTGCTGCGATTCACATTATCATTAGCCCGCCTGCTCCAAGTCGCGTCTTTGCATATATATATATATATATATATATATATATATATATATATATATATATATATATATATATATACGGTGTGTATGCGCATTATACGCACGCCTCATGTGTGTGTGCGCGCGTATGCATACGTAAGGACCTGACCTGGCGTTCAATGAACTCCATCATGCGCTCCTGGTCATCCTTGTCCATCTTCTCCTTCTTGAGCAGCGCCTCTTGTCGAGCCAGCGTCTCCGGATCCCTAGAAGGCCGGAGGCCACGTCAAATCTCGGCTCGGCCACATAGTGCACAAGCCACACGCTGAACAGCATTGGTTCATGATGAATGTTCGTGAGAATAATGGGCTGGCAAATTAATTTCTGTTCTGCCTGCTGCTTTCCCGTTAACCGTGTGCTAGTCACTTGTGTTTAGGAAACGAATTAAATACTGTACCCATACGTTCTATCAATACACATGACATAACTGTTTATGGGAAGCAGTGGTGACCTTCCCTGTTTGGGACGTCGAGAACCCTTCCAGATCAACATAGCACAAAACAGAAATGGCGCAATTCAGTTGATGCACTGACACCAGCTTATCCCGATCCACGTCTGCTTTCCACTACACAGCCATAGGCGCCGCCTATTGGCACCAACCATCCTGGGTGCATGGCTGCCCATACGTCGCCGTAGCATCGTCGAAATGCGAAGAAAATTAGTCGCAAGGGAAAGAAGGAAAAGCTACTACAGACCGCAGAAGGAACGCAAGCAAACGACTCCGTAACGAAACACACCAGGGCGCTATCACTGTATTTGTATTGGGTTATCATTACTTTGCTTGGTCTCTTTTTGTCTAATCACCGACGACTTTGCCGATCACTGGTACCCGAAACTTCTCCTGTAAGACAGTCCGAACAGCTTGCTTTAAGTTCAGAATTCTCAGAAACTGTAACCGCCTGCAGCCTGCGTGATTTTGCCAAAAATATGCGTATAAAAACATCCCATTGCCTTAATCTAAATCCAGATTCGAAAGGGTGCTGTATAATCAACCTGAAACCCGAGCGCGTTGCCGTCACACAACCTCTCATGGAGCGTCAAGAGATGCAGTGGTCATACCAACGTCCATAGGTCACAGCCCCGACAGGGAATAGGACCCGGACACAGCGATGAAACTAAGCGCCTCCTCTCCCCCCCCCCCCCCCCCCCCCACACTACGTTACACTGACCTAGATCCTGGATGACCTTGACCAACCTTTTGCATTCAGGAGTATGCCGCCTTCTGTAGTTCTTGACACTGATTTTAAATATAAATGTCTAAAAAAAACTCAAAAGGCCTCGCAGGCTTGAACTTCTCAATGTCAAATAACGTCACTGGCCTGATATGAGCTGAAGTGACCTCCTGCTCAGAAAACACACCAAAGTAAAAGCTGGTTGTATGAGGTCTAACAGCACGTCGGGTACCGAGCTCGAATTTGATTTTGTTTGACTTTACCCGAAGATCAGAACCCAGGGACCTAAAAATTTGACACAAATGAGATCCCATAGGGCCATGCCTGAATCTAGCATATCTCCCCTCCCTCTCTCTCTCTCTCCCATCTCCCTAGCATAACCTCTCTTAGCTTTTTAGATATAGGGGGTCAAACTGACCCCGCCTCCATCGGTGTTAAATGCGCTGCATTCAACCGGCCACGCGAGCGCGTGTTGATCCTCTTAATGTGACGTAGGCTTCACTGACATGACGCTGCCACGCAAAACCCGTCATCACAACTGATTTCGAAAACTTGTTTTCATATGACATGGATGATGAGCACCTGGTGTCTGGTGTTTACCTTTGTCAAGTAAAATAAGTAATAACAAAAGCATGAAGTCAATGAAACCCCACACCTCTCATGTCGGTTTATACCACAAAAACAAGCACTGACTGGCGGACTGTTTTGCGGACAGTCACCTATTGCACGTGGTGCAAGCATTGCAGCAAATACAACCATGCAAGAATTAATGAACACATTACTCAGTACACATGACACACCAAACCATTCGAGGCATGCCAGTTCATGAGCAACGCAACGTTGCGACCAAAACCAGCCAAGAACCCACCAATGGGTTGTCTTTGTCAGCTGTTTGTAACTATGCATCACCGGCAGCAGCATGTCTCAGCCAAACTCAGCTATTCAGGCCTCACTGGCGCCACCTAGCTATGACTGTTGAATTCCCCCCGCCCCCATGCCACCTACGAAAGACAGCATATCGCAGCTTCAGTTATCCCAGCAATGGCGGCCGAGCCTCTCTCTAGCTCCCGCCGCGACTCAGACCTGTCAGGCCCCCCATCCAGGACACACGGGCTGACGTCCAGACCGGTACCGGCCTTTCCCGCCGCTCCCCGCGATCCGCCCCGGAGGCGTCACGCCCCGGCTGGCATGCCTGCCGGGCGCCCGGCCGCCGGCGGGTGGCAGCCACCTCCGTCCGCCTTCCTTCCGCGCCGCCAGCGGGCCTCACCTGTCGATGTACGTGACGAACCATCCCTTCTCGGTCTCGTCGACGGTACACTTGCCGTCGCGGCCCAGGTACTTGACAAAGTCGGTCAGCGTCTCCCACTGGGTGGCGTTCATGTGCAGGTGCTCCTTGTGCGCGATGTACTCCTGGTACACGTTGTTCGCGTGCACGCGCTTGGTGCCGAACCGGCGCCGCAGCAGCTCCAGGTAGCCCTCCTCGAACTCCCTGCAGGGGCGGCGCGCCGTGAGAGAGGCACCCGGCGCTGAGCGAGCCGCCGCCGGCGCCCACTTCACCGCCGCGACGCGCCCCTCCGCTGGACGGCACACGCGGTCCGGACATCAGAGGACGACAGCGTCCCATTCTCCGGTGGGGAGCAGCCTCAACTAGCACGAGATTAACCAGTCCATCAAAGGAAAATCGTAACCACGACATCACAATCAACAAACAGTGGGCTGAACATATTACAAGATGAACTGGATCCATCTGAGCCATATTTCCCACTGGGCATTTCCTGTGCCAATGTGCAATGCAGCTTTTCACATTTGATGCCCTACTACCACAATTTGCACAAAAGTCAATTTTGGCATGCTATTAGATTGTGGCTGATGAGTTGCATGGTTAGTTATTGCATGAAAATGTTTGATAACACCATATAACCTCTTTAATGGGGAAGTGAAAGTAATGATACATGTGTCAACTATAAGTGCAGGTAAGACAGATATGGCTGTGGGCATTAGTTTGAAAAAGTTAATTGGCAGTGCTGTGAAATTTGTTGAGCTCATGGCCTTTTTTAGTTTGTTGCTGTTCTCTTCACTCTCTTTTTGTTCTTCCCATTTGTTTCAGCTGATCAACTGATGTTGATCTGATGACTGACGATCAACTGTCATTATGCATGTTTAGCAAAACAATTGCCCCAGCTCATGTCAGGTCACAGAACTATATTATCTCTGGAGGTCTGCAGATCCATTTTAAACATTTTTTTCTGAGTGTTGGCACGAATGACGCTGTCGGGCAGTAGCACAGTCAGAGTTTTGTACATAAAGTTACTAAATCGTGGCATGGTGTTCACTTTCACCCAAGGAGGCTCTCTGGGGGCAGACTGTGTCTTGTCTCTGCAAGTGTTGTTTTTTATTCAGATTTTCTGAACACTCTGTTTTGTGTCTCTGGGCTCATTTTATGTTATAGAAGCCTTACAGGCTTAAAACTGTCAAAATAAACTGAAGCCCTTACCCCAGTTATGTCCTCAACAAATGAGCCATACTGTTTTATATTTTTATACTCAAATAAGTTTTATATTCTCAAAGAAGTGTCTGCTGCAACATAGCTGGAACAAGGTGATATGGAATTAATGGTGATTGTTTGGTTGCAAGAAATGACTCTGCAGTTACAATACAATTTACTGAGTGATAACACTGATGACTGACACCTAGCGATTGATGAGGAATATAAATTTGTCTGTATATTTATGTGAGGTGGTCTCTGATGGAAGTCTCACATGCCATGGAGCAAGGGAATTATGCATAGATGCAGGCACACTGGTGCGGACAGGAGTTGGGACCAGTGGGGCAGGTATGGCTAGGTTAGGTTTGGTAAGGTCAGGCTAACTTATGTGATCCACTTTAAATGTTCCGTGAACAAACAGCTGCATGCAATAACCAGCACAGGATAAACTGCTAAGTTAATAATTACCCTTCAATACTTTGGCCAAGACAAATCACATGGTGAGCACCACAGAGCAGGTATAACAAACAAGCCATGCTTTTTTAAGAGGTTTCCAGAATGTAGGCGTGTCGATTTTGGGCAATAGGCCCTCCATGACAAATGTTAATGGCTAACTTACTGAGAGAATGAATCCAAATATTGATCAGGATTCTCCGCAAACAGCAGAAGCTGCCTCTGGTGTGATTCGGAGCTGGTATGACACTTGAAGCCATTCTCATCCCTGCACTGTTTTTGGCACATCTGACAATACCATCTAAGTTTTTGAAGTCCTTTTGCTTTAGCCTTGTTCGCAATCCATTTCGGAGTGCCCTTTTCAGCCTTCCCCATAGTTTGTCACTAGATAGCCTACGTGCACACTCAAACGTAACACCAGTGGTGAAATGCACGTCCAAACTGCAAAATCCAGAATATTCCACGTCTAGGGCCCTGGGATTATCCAATCCCAAACTGAGACAGGCCCCACGGGCAGCAGCACGTTATAGTTTGTTTCGTGGTGCCTGCAGTGGTCAAGCGATGCCAAGGCTATCTAACGGAAGAACCGTGGATATGGCGCGGATGCGGCGAAAAGTATCAGCTCGCTGCGTAAACAGTGGCTCCTTATGTTACCGTCATTGTGCTTACGATTACTGGAGGGCAGGTTAAGCAAAAGCTGGCTGCTCGTGATATTTTCGTCCCCTAGCGTAGTAAAATCAATCATTAGACTGCACCGCATTCATCTTTGTGCCCATTGCCCCGACGATTTGATGAGAACCCCTAGTCAGACATCATGAGTACCGGACAGCCTGCTCCGTGTGGGTGTTTGTCTGTGCCTCTGTTCCTGTCGGTGCTCGTCTGTGCCTGTGCTTGTGCCATTTTCTAAGCATGGAAAAGGCCGGACCTGTGTGTTCGATTCGTAGGGGCCCTGAGTCCAGAAATTGTCCCTGTGTTGGTCAGGGACACACAGTTCCCAGCAGGGGTCCTGTGCTGGCGAGGGGCCCCACGTCGGCCAGAGGTAGTGTTTGAGGGGCTCAAAGAGGGGCCCGAAAGGCCCTTCGAAACCGACGATCAAGAGCCAGTTGGAATGTTGAGGGGCCCGGAGGTCGGGAAGACTGACTTTAGGTCACATCAAGAATCCCGGTCCGTAGAGTCGTGACCTCACATGCCAGTCAGAGTGCTTTTCGTATCGACTGAGATCCCCAAGGACAACGCGGGTCTCTTCTTGGGTCAGAGACCATCGACACCCAAAAGTCGGCTCCGTGTCGATCTGAGCACTGGAGGCCATTTCCCGAAAAGGATCACAGCCGGGGCACGTGATTTGCGCTGGTCGGGCCCCTCGCGACAATAGGGGGCATCTGTGTCATTCAGGGCTCTCAAAGTGCCTAATAGGAGGTGGGGTATCGGTTACAGACCCCGAGTCAGCAAGGGAAGAATTCACTGAATAGGGACAGGGCGAGACCCCGAATGCCAGAGTTTCTCTGTGGCGCGGCGCACCTATCCGCCGTGGGCCACATGCTGTTTGTTCAATGTGCGAGTACGGTTATCCCGGCGGTGACGGTGTGTGCCGTAATCTTTAATCCTGGGGGGAAGGGGGGGATTCAAAAGGTTAGGATCAGATGTGGCACGCGCCGTATCTATCCGCCGTGGGCCACATGCTATTCTTCGCAATGCGCAAATACGTTTGTAATGTCGTTGCGTTTGGCGGTTCCGTGTTGTGACGCGCTCGCTCCGGACGTGCACGCCAGAACGACCAATAGGGGGTGGCCCTTTAAATACGCCTTCCCGTCGGAGGGAGAGAGGCTCGTTGGATATTCGGGGGATTCGTTCGACATTCATGTGGAGACCCTATCGGCTTGGTGCGCACTGACGGCTGGGCGCACGGTCTGATGTGCACTGAAGGCTGGGCGCACGGCGCCTGTGCCTCTACAGAATGCCACTCCGGCTTAAGAATTGCCGACCTTTCGGCGGCTCTTTGAGATCGCCAGCGCTGTTCTATTGTTATCTGATATAACCTTGTGTTGTATTCAGTGTAAGTTGAAAAGAGAATCTGTACAGGATTTTTGAACTTTGAGCGGCCTGAAGTTTTCCACGAGTTCAATCGAACGTTTTTTTTTTCTCACGACGGGCTAAATGCATCACAGATGCTTTACCCAATGACGCCTCGCGGCTAGCGACTGAGAGAGCCTGCACGTCACATATGTAACGGCTTCTTACGGGTAGCGCTGAGGTATTCCGAGCCGATGAAAAAATTTCGGCACCCCCACGAGTGATTTCGGCTTAATTAAGTGGCGATAGACGGTGGGAGTTACGCTGTCATGGTGACGCCACGGTGGACCTTGCACCAGGTGACTGCTGTTAACGGGAGACACATGCCGATGCATACGGGGTGTGTGGCCGCACCGTTCCGCTTATAATTGAGGGGCTCGGATGGTCCCGCATAGCCTGCCGACTTTGCGCAGTGACCACACTATGGGCCTCTTAAATATGACCGGTAAACAAGCACGCTTGAGACGTTACGAATGAGATGATATTATGATGCTATGTTATGTAATGTTATGTTATATATGTAAATGTTATGAGATGTGTGAACGCTAGTTGCGAAATTCCTGTAAAGGGGTGTTTGCCGCCCAACATGTTATGGAGAGAGCATTTTTTTACGTAAAAGCCCATATATCATCGGTGAGGCAATATTTTCGCTACCATTTGCCGCCACTCCCAGTAAGCCAGTTACTGACGAGGAATTACCTCAATGATAATTGCCCGCGAATCAATGGTGGGCAAGCGATCCAACAGACACCAATTAAATGTGGCATGCATGATCAATCCAAGCAAATATGGCCTTTGTTAAAAGACTATTGCGTGTCAAGGAGCGCTTCTTTTGTGCGTTGGATTATGAATGAGTGTAGTCAGTAGTCACTGTCTCTGGACTATTGGGGTGCCGCGGTGGCCGTCCTTCCTGCCAGAACAATAGGCGGGCGATGCTATATAGTTTGAGCAGCTGAGCGCGTCGCATAGCTCCGATTACAGGATCAATACGGGAGGTAATTAACGTCACGTGCGAGTATCTACCTCCGTAAACTACACAACAGCTTCACCAAGTCATAAAGCCAGTTATGGGGCTTGTTGCTTTTCTATAAAATGGGCGTTGGAAATATCGTGATTTCCGTTTGTGATACCGTGAAGAATCCGTCGGATGATTGTACTTAAATTGCAGAGAAATCACAGGCCTTCGCCCCTGGTGAGGCGGACAACAAAAAATATTGTTAAAGAAAACAGCGGTAAGCGAAATGCGAAAAGAAATGTGCGTGACATAATGGTGGTCAGTTTTGGGATGTCACCCGAGTGATAGAATTCACAAAAAGTACACAAATAAAGCGGAATGCAAAAAGAAATCAGCGTAAAATAATGGTTGCCAGTATGGGGAGGTTGCCAAGAGTCACTTTTCCCGCGTAACATAATGGTAGCTCTAGAGGAGGGGGGGAGGGGCAAATAAATGCTAGATTTAAAGAAGGCATGAAACAAACGAAACTGACAATACGAAAGATAAATCTGCGTGGCGTGTCTTGCTTGCGTCGAAGTCTCTCAAAGTAAAGGGAGATATGAGGAATTCTTGTCAAAATTCGTAATAAGACAAATGAAGTACCCTGTGGCAGACAGAGGTCACAGTACCGAGCGGGGGTCCCTCCACCCCATTTCACCCAAGCTTTCATCAGGTCGAACTGGAGTCTCTGTACTAACCATTTGACCAACTGTGACAATGAGCAACCCTGTTACGTCAAAGAGGGCTCCTGCGTCCATCCGTGAACAACTGCCCAGGTCAGAGGGCCTTCCGCGTCAAGGAGGGGGCCAATGTCGTCCCCGGGTCGCTAGAATGGCAGCCAGTAGACGCCCTGCGCTGGAACGGAATGCCCCTTCAGTCGTTGACCGGAAACGATAATGTGCCCCTGACGTGTAACACACGGGCCGCTGGCCCGGAGAAAGGTAAGGAATCTTTTAAGTGTTCAAAAGAGCGGATCGAAATGAGTTCAAAAATTAAAAGATCGACCCACGGTTGTCTGAGAATGCTCACCTATTCGAAAAATTAACCGATAAAACAAAGAACAAAACAGGTTATGAGCCTGTGTGATAACAATCTCACGAGCAAGAACAGCCATGAGCAGGGTTGCAGCTTCCATGAAACCGAACGCCGTTGGCCGCTGTAGATAACGCCAGGCGGCTAACGCTGGGCCCACGAGAAGATCCGTCATGAGCTCATGCTTTCGTATGTCTTTCAAAATCGTGTCGCACCGTTCAAAGATTACGCTGTGGTGAAATTTCGCGCTCATAAATTTGAGGGTACCCTTTGAACCGATAGAGTAACACGAAAAGCAAAGATAGTGCCTTTACTTTTCCAGCTTCACCACCAGAGTCCAGCACAAGTTCGGGGTGCTCTAAAAGTCACTCCGCGTATAAACCGGGACTGCTTTCTAAACATGCGAATAGATTCCGTTAAGTGTTCAGAGGTACTCTTTTCGAAAGCCTCGTCATTTTTGCCCGCCTGTTGGCTACCGCCTAGAGTTTGCCGCAGGACCTGCGCCGCGGGGCCTATGGAGATTGCAATGCCGTCCTAGGGGTTTTTGTTCCTGGGACTTGCGACCGTGCACGTTCAAGACTACATAACATGATTTTTCTCACTAATCGGTCATGACACACTGCTGAGCATTCTTAAACGCACATAGGTTGAATATGTTGGTGCAAATTTTGACTCCATTTCGATCTGAAATGTCCTTTCAGGGACACTTCAACATTTTTGTGTGCCTCTAAAAGATTCTGGAAGAGCCTCTGGGCTCTATTGGTTCAAAGAGTTTGCTAAAGTGCTGCACAGTGAGAAGCGCCGACCGTTTATTCAGTACAGTCATTCACTGCTCGTTTCGTTAAGCTTAGGACCTCAAAATACAAACAGAATTGTATTTGCTCGTACATTTTGGCCTCTTTTGTCCGCCATTTGGTCAGCCGAGGGCAGGTATCAAGCCAGCGCTGAGATGTGCTGACGTCGAGCCAAATCTTCGCGTGACCGAAATCCTGGTTTGCATAACATGTCGAAGCTGGCATAACAGTACTGACTTGGGGGCGCGTGGTTGCTCGTAAAGAGAATGTTTGCTCTGCCCACAGTTATATAAAAGTAGAATATTGTGCCACACCCTACAAGAGCTGTTGGTAATATAAGAGATTTCAGCATGTGCTCATTTAATTGCATGGGATTACGGGGTTATCAAACACGAGAGATGTGCTTAAAAAGCAAGACGGAACAATTTTCGGTTGATTCCATTGCAAGAGATGTATTTTGTGAAGCGCACACAACACGTGCTCAGGAACAACGCCCAGGTGGTGGGTGGAGGAGAAATTTTCAGTGTCCTGGAATTGCCGATTTTGGGTGTAAAGCAGCACCCTACGAGGAGGAATTTTTCACTCCTTTTCCCCATCTTTTATGTGAATTGTTCACTCCTGCCTGACATTGTCTAATCGCACATGGAAAACCCCG